CATACCTACAAATTCATTAATTAACCATGTGCAAATTTTATATACATTCTGCAAAAAAGAATAAATAAAGACATTTAGATAAAACAGAGTAGAATAGGATGAAAACAAGGATTGATAAAATGTATAAGGCTGTATGTAGGATACCATCTGTTCTGAAAAGGGAGTTGTTGGGGTACCTAGACGTTACAGTCAGAATTTCAAGCATCCTGATTTCAGCTAACCTCTGAAATTATTAATGCTTTCATTGCTGTTAAAAGTGGCATGCTCAGACAACAAAAACATCCATACCTTTACACAGGTGGAATGGGAGAACTGGAGAGCTGGAGGTGTGGGATTGGATTTAACATAAAAAGGAAATGGTTTCTGTTACAAACTGTGGCTCAGCAAAGGGGTGGGAGAAGGAGCATAAAGTCTTGGTCAGTCATGGAAGGATGTTCAGAGAGCTGCAATGGAGCCAGGGAAGTGGCAAAAATGATCCTCCTTAGATATGTTGTAGGTGGCTTAGCAAGGAGTACGCAAGTACAGACACCAGTGTAGGAGGCAGTGGTCAGAGCCCTTCTGGAGTCCTGGAAGAGTCTGCCCCCATAATTCAGAAGGAACATCAGAAGAAACACAGAAGTACCACTGGACAAAACAAAGAATGAGAGCTATACAATTGCTGTCTATAAATACATCCAGGGGAGGGGAACGAAGGGCAGGGCAAATGCTAGGAAGGGCAAGAAGTTATTTGAGTTACCAGACAATGTTGTCACTAAAACAAATGGATATAAATTGGAAGTTAGTGAATCTTGGCTGGAGTATAGAGGGTCTCCATCCATGAGAAGAGTGAAGTCTGAAACTGTCTTCTAGTGAGAGTAACAGGAACAAACCAATGTGAGTGAGGGTATTGCAGAACTCACTTGCCTGTAATCTGGATAATACAGAATTCGCTGATTTCTTGCATATAGCATAAAGGTGAGTGGAGCCACTTTCTCTTTGCCTCTCTGCCAGGGAGACAGACAGTCTGAACAGTCTTATGATGTTACTATAAGAGCAGTATTTTATGAGATTTCTGTTAATCTATTGGTTCATAAATTAAATGCGACTCTATGGCCTCCTGTGATGTGTTGGCATGCTGCAAAAATATTAAGAATGAAAAATTTGTAATTGTTTTAAATTACAGTCATTCCAATCTTGTAAAACTTTCGGCCAAAGAAAGGCAGTGTTGTCATATATACCTGAGGTAAGAAGAAGGTATCAATCAAATATTATTGATAGGATTTGTATCTGATCCAGTACTTGATCTAGTGGTTGGTAACACTGTCTGTGGCATGGGCTTTGGAATCTGATGATCCTTGCATTCCCTTCCAACCCAAGCCTCTCTTTGATTCATTTGAAATTCCTGGAAAGCATTGTTAGGGAAACATGCTGTGCCTTACCCTTTTTGTATTACTCAGGGCAATTTAAATTGAGTTAATTGATTTTATTTTTATCTAGTGATTGTTTTATTTACATGTTCTTGGTCTGGTGTGGTTTTTGTTCAAGTGTTTAGTATTATGTTAGCAAAAAATTTATAACCTTAAGATAATAACATAAGTGACCAAATTGTTTAAAAAAGGGTATAACTGTTTCAAAAGTTCTTAAACACAGAGTGAGACAAAATATTGCCCGTGGGCAGTAGTGGAGTTAGTACTGACCACCTTTATGCCCACAGGTTGTCAGATAATCCTTCTCTGCTCCAGAGCAGCAGAGCAGCCATCAGATGGCAGCACTCTGCACAAAGAGCTCCCGAAAGCCCAAATCCATCTCTTACCACCAAGAGCCCGGGCCCTCAGGCAGGAGGAGAGTGCTGAATTCTGAATGCCTGTGAATAGAAACCATGCTTCCAAAGTTCAGAATAACTCCTTGAAAGCTTCATAAATCCAGCTCATTTCAGTCAATCCATTTTCTCCATTTGTAGCAGCTGTCTGAAGGCTGAATTGAACGTGCTTATCTATTTTGGCTGCTCTGGATTAATGTTTTTCAGTCCCTGTGTTTCAGCAAAACACTGGAGTTCTGTACCCCTAAGTATACAAGTTATAATATAAATACATTTTCTCTGTGTAAGATCCTAGTGGGGAAAAAAGTATATTTAAACAGTGATTGAATCCCAACTTGAATTTACATCTAGATGAGTCAGATCTGAATACCTCATAGTTACTATTTCCTACTGGCTTTTTCCAAAGCAGGGCATTGTCACCAAGCTTGTCTCGCTCGCCCTTAACACTTCTTGCTATGCAGTTGAAGTTGCGTGTCTCAGGACTGCCTTTGTAACAGGGACAGGAGGCAGTTTGCTTTCAGTGTACATATGAAAGAGGGAATCTGCAGACAGCTCTCTAGTTCAAGTGCAGAGGTTTGACATCATGCACAGTTAACAGTCACAGATTGACAGAATTGCAGGGGTTGGCAGGGACCTTGAGAGATCATTGAGTCCAACCCCCCTCTAACCCAGGTACTCTACAGGAGGTCTCACAGGTAGGTGTCCAGACAGGTCTTGAATATCTCCATAGAAGGAGACTCCACAATCTCTCTGGGCAGCCCGTTCCAGTGCTCTGTCACCCTTACTGTCAAGGTAAATGTTGTGGAGCTGATGCTCAGGGTCATCCCAGCCACCAGCACAGCACTGAGTGTTGCTCTGGGGTCCCACCAGCATTGCTTTTTAAAACACAGAGAGAAATAGATGTGCAATGCAACTGTGAAAATCAAGCAGAAGCTCAGACCAGATTCAGTGGGCCATGTGGAAGTTCCTGGTGTGTTCTGAATGCTGTGGACTGGGTGAAGGTCCCATCTGGAAACCACATGGTTTTCTACCAGTTCCATCTGAGCCCTGGTGCAATTTGGAGGTTTGACTATTTGGGTTTGAGTGAGAATTTATTCAAATCTGAAAATCAAACAAATCTTTCAGACTGTTAAATCACGCAAAGAAAACTGAGGACAAAGGTTTGCTCACAGCCTAGGCTGTAACAAGCTGGGTCAGAGCTGTGGGTAAGGTAAACACAGATTGAAAACACCCTGGGTTGTCTGCCTGCTGTTTGCTGCACAGTTGGTGAACAATCCCTCCTACTTCCTCCCTGTTTGCTAAGAGGTGGCTTGCTGACTTCACTCTGCCCTTGTGTAGCAGCAGCGCACTGTGCCGGAAAGGAGACCAAAGCATGAGTCATGGCCTGAGTCACAGGGCTGCAGGGAAACCTTCCTGCCCAACCTGCAGCCATTCAGCTCATGCAGCCCACTGAGAAGTCAAATCATAGGAACTCAGTCACTGGGCACTCGTATCTCCACTTACCGCACCCTGTGTCGTTTCTGCAGGGCTCAAATACTGACAGCAGTTCCTTTGGACTGGGATTGTTTTCTGTTGCAGCTATGCCCACCTATCCTGGTGCAGATTCACAAAACTGGGTGTAGCTATGGAACCTGTATCTTCTTTGTATCACTTCTTTGGTAGACTTTTGCACATCCTTCAGTTACCATCTCTCAGGTCAAAAAGTTTGACCTGAACTCTGATCTCCATCTCACTGCTTCCATTTCTACAGGGCTGGGCAGGAAAACACATAAGTTTTCTGAAGGGCAGGAAGCACTTCCCTCACCTTTGTAAATATCCACACAGCTGTTTCACTGTGAGCCATCCAGATTTCAGATTACTCAGTATTATTCTAGGCTCTCAGAGTGAGAGTGTATATGAGAAGAACATTGCAAATTAAGAGCTGTAAGTCTGAGAGATCGTCTACAGGAATTTCTCCTCTGTATGCATCTCTTCTAATTCAAGAGATTTTCCTTGGTCCAATGAGCTTGGGACATTACGTTGTCTGTTAAACTTCCTTTGAACCTAATATGCTTCCTCTTGCAGGTTTTGTCTAATGCAGCAGGAGAAAATTATTGTTGCCTCTTGGTCTGGTCTCCCTGTCTGTGCAATCACACTACTTCAGTTTATACTCTATTTGCAGGAGGTATTTTTTCTAAAATGAAGTAACTTTTAGATCTGAATGAAAGTAAACACCTCCCATTGTGAAACATTTAGAGACCCATCACCAGGCTCACAACTGAATTTTATTTATTGTTTTAATTTCTCATCCCCTATCCACAACATTTTCTTTTTTCCTCCCTTCCCCCACTACCCCCCCCCCCCCCCCCCTCTCTCTCTCTTCAATGTTAATTACTTCTTGGTGAATGTATTAAAGGTTGACTGGATGACCAGAATATTTTTGTGCTATCTTCATGTATTATAAATGCCAGGTATGGGGAAAAATATGCAGTAAAGATTTTATCCTATAGAAATTTTATTACCTTTTAAAGAAGCACTGACCTGCGTTGTTCAGTGTTGCTCATTCTGAAGATACAAGACAACAGCTATATTCTGTTGCGATGTGTCATAAAACCGTAACTCTGATTTAAGCAAAATCAGAACTTGCTCCAAAATGAGCATGTAGTGGAGGATAAAACAGTGATAGTTGCACCGTCTGTACTGTAATCTCCCATTTGTTATGCCTCATTGGGCTGATGCCTCTAATTTGGGTTAACAGAACAAGTCTGTATTACATACCTTCTTAAAGAAGGGAAACCTTGCTGTCAAATCAAGCAATACCAGAACCCCAGAGACTTTACACATCCTACCCAGATCAGCATGACTACTCCAGATTGCATTTTTCTGGCATGTGTAGCAGCTCAAGCCAATAAAACAATACATTAGTAGTGGAACTTCCCAGTCAAATTATCTTTAGATATCACATCAGATATGTAGTGACACTGCAAAACAAGTTTCATCTCCTTCACGTTCATTTTTTTTTTTTGCTTTGCCCAAGACTTCTCTTATCATCTTGTGCTTCTGTCAGTGAAGTTGTCTTTCCCACTCTGCCCAGTCCAATGATCTTCTCACTGTGTGAGTTTTTAAAAGCCAAAATGAAACTTGGTTCTTCTCTCTTTTTTTCTGTGTATTTGTTTTTGTTGTTACCTGTTTTGCCATGTCTTTTTATTTCTCTGCTCCACAGATAATCTGGAGATGTCTGTCTTCAATGAACTGGAGAAACTTATTTGTTTTACTGAAGACAAGACTAATTCAGATTTGGCAGCCATCCCACTCAGAGGCAGGCACTTAGCCCCCAGCTGTGCTTTCCTTGCCAAGACCTATATGAAATGTTACTACACAAACAGAGAATCAATAATGTCAAACAGTATTTGTAAGTTTTATGTAGGTTGTATAATTCTTTCTTTAAAATTTTGGTATTTTGAAACTGAAAACAAGCTTTTCCTAACTGCCAGCTATTCAGCTGGCTGGTCCTTACCCTTGTAGACTGCTGGTGTCTGGTATCTGGTAGTTGAAGGACTGCCACGTAGTCCTTAGAGCACACTCTTTGAGGTGTTGTCATATTGCCGGAGGCTGGTAAGAGCTGCAAAGTGAACTCCTACATTGAAAGGGCAAGCACTAGTTTTTTGGAGCTGTGAGAGGCTGTAGGCATAGCAACAATATTATAGGACATGCACACAAATATAAATTAAAGACAGGGAAATAAAATGTGTTGGATGGCACTTACAGTAGGATTTTGTATGAGCAAACATTTTCAGTCGACTCCATTTTTTTTTGACCTCATGTTACTACAGATATTGTCCTCCATAGACTTGCATCCTCACCAGCTAAGAGAACATAATTTAATTGATGCTTTTTTCATGCCACAAGAAATTGTAGTAGGTGAGGAAGACACTCCTAGGTATAGAAAGAAATTGAAGGAGACTTTGGAATGTTGTTGTAAATAGAAATGTTAAGGTGTGGTTCCACAACAGCATAAGATGGGTTGTAACCAAACTGCCATATTCCCATCCCTCTGCCAGCTCTGTCTGCCTTCCTCTCCCCTCAAACTGGTGCTTGCACTGGGGTGGGCAATGACTGAGGGCAGGGAACTCAGCCAGGTGAAGATCAGCCTGCCTACAGAAGGTGTGTGGATTGTTATTGGATGAGGTTGAATCAGCTCACTGTTTGTTTGGACACCAGTAAGAGCCAAGGGGTGTGAGCATGAGGGCAGGGCAAAGGTAGGCTTGACGTAATCCAGTTGGAGCTGCTATGAAACTACCTGTGGACTGTGTAAATATTAGTAAAATTGGATGTGCCTGGGAATGTTTCCAGGCACTAGAATGAGATTCTCTATGCTATGAAACTGTTAAAATGCTTCCCTGGCAGGAATTTGACCTCTTCCAATTAACACTCTCTGCAAACAATTTCTAGGCACTATTTGGTTGCTAGAATGGTCCCAATAGGCAATTTGCAAGCATAAACGTAGTTCTTTCTGTGCCAGCTGGCCTCCATACCCAGGAATGCTTCCAGGCATGTTGGGTTTACTAGTATAGACCTATCCCTACTGTCACATCCTGCCCCAAAATTGCAGCTACCACCAGGTTTGAAAAGGGAGGTCTGATCCTGTCAGTTCTCACAATGAGTGCAGCTCAGTTTCGCAAGCTAGCTGTGTTGCTTTGGTGGGATTTCTGATGGTGGAAAAATGGGTTATATGTTTTTAGGACAGATCAGTGATACAATAATGAAATTGCAATTTTATACTGCAGTGCGTAGAGCCAGTTGCAGACCCTCACAGTGAGAAAGGAGTTGTCCTGAGCAAATCGTTTTCAAAACTGAAAGTAGCATAACATAAAAGCTAGATGAAATCTAGGAACAATACATTTAATTTCCTTTAATAATGTTGTAAGAAATGCATATTTTGCCTCCATTTCTAGTTGGGTTGATGGGGGAAGAGATGATAATATCTTTATATGTTTTTATCTGGGCTGCAGTGCTGCTGAATGTTTGGGCACTTCTGTGGGGCTGAAGCTGAAGTGATTTTTTTCAAGTCAATTTCAGAACTGAGAATGCAGTTATTCTTTCCTCTGCATATTAAGAAAAAGCCACAATTGCAGCGTTTCCTTTCCAGTTTGCAATGTTAATAAAATCAATGTGTTCTGTATCTTGAATAACCAAAGCCAGGTCCTCAGCTGCAACAACTGAATAATTTCTGTTCTTTTTTATTTTTTGTTTTTTGTTTTTTTTTTCACAGCTGCCTTTACAAGCTTCCCTCCACACCAGGGAATCTGAAAAAATGGGATTTTTACATCTCTCCAGGTATATTCACTTAGCAACCTTATGACCTCTTACCTAACATATTCTCTCAGGGAACAATTAAAGGAATTGTTTTAGAGTGGCTCAATGCACACACACAGACACACACAAAAAAAATGCTCTCGGATGGGTTGCTTTAGGACCCAGAGTAACTGGAATTGACAGAAGTCTTCACCTGAATGAATTTTCCTTCTGATTGTATACCTTATAAGGAGTACAGGAAAACAAGGAAGTGATAACCATGTTCAGGTTACCTCTATGTACAGCCTGCCGTCTTTACCTGCCCAGGTAGCTGTTGTTTTCATTTTCATTCATGCTCTGTGCTGATAGGTTTGAAGTTTCCTCGCAGTCCGTTGTAGGTGACATCTGAAAACATACACTTTGGGAATGTATGATGATTTTTACGACATTCTGCCTTTCTGTGGACGATAATTAACACGCTAACACTTTTTGTCACACAGCCAGCACTGAAAACGAATGGGGATTGAATTGCTTTGCCTCTTTTTCCTATTTCTGCAAAGAAATAATGATGTGCAAGGTAAGACTCAGGGGCAGTGAGATGCATTTCAAAACCATTTTTGCTTGGTTTCTTGCTTTAAGTTGATACTAAATAGTTTTTGTCTCCTGTATTTTATTGCTACTTTCTGTTTGATGACTGTTTTCTTGACATGCTGCTGAACGGCAGCCCTGTGAATTTGTCTATGATTTACGTGGACATTACATAGCACAATTTGTATGAAAGAGGTAGGCATCTGAGTAGTTATGGTTATACTAATCACTGTTTGATCCACTGAGAAACTTAATACCATACAAGTGGCTCAACGTTTCACCAGTACTTTCACAATAAATTAAAATAATATCAAGAATCTACAGAGCTGGGGGAAGCAATTTTAGGTATAGAGAATGAGCATACATAAATCTGTGGTTTGGTGTCTCTTGGTGTTTTGGTTATGCTGACAGTATTTTGCCCCATACCGGAAACAAACACAAAGCTTTGTCAAGTGCACTGGAGCAAACCAGAAGCACATTCTTATATTCTCAGCTATAAAGCGTGCAAAAGTATGTTAATTATCAGCAATTGCGTTGCTGTTGTTTTCTTTGTTTTGTTTTGTTTTTCCCAGAGAGTTAATGTTCTACCAATAGAAATATCTTTAGGGAAGGACTTAATCAGTAACACTACGTATGGCTAAATGTTTGTAGTTTTTGCTTCCTCTGTTCTCAATGTGAGCAGATTCATCGCAGACTGAATGATCAAACACATTATTAATAGCCTTTTGTCTTCTTGGATTTAAACTTAGGGACCTGTTCTCAGGAAAGTGGAGTGACTTGTGAAGATTGTTTGCTTTCCGGACCGCACTGTGCTTGGTGTTTCCAAGAGGTAGATGATACCAAAAATTTCAAAGTAAAACTTGAAATGTTTGTAGTGGCTCTGAGTGACAAAGTATTGACTTAACTGGGTTAGCCCGTGGATTTGTAATGCATGCAGTGCTTAGTGAAGCCTTCCTGGGAATCAAAAAGGGAATTCAAGTACAGACTTTAAGCTGTGTTATTATCTGTGTCGCATCAGCTCTGGCTGATTTCAAATATGACAATAGTGTCAGTTTTCTAATTAATTATGACGTAGGTGCGAGTATTTTGGCTAAAACATAGGGCTTTAACATAAATATTTTGATTTGTTTCCTACAGATCTCTTACAGGCTTTCTGTGTAATTCCGAGCAAGCCAATTACCATCTCTGATTTTAAAATTTTCCCCTGTGAAAGATGATAAATATCTCCATAATTCCTAGCAAGTCTTCTAGGACTTAGTTAATTCTGGAAAGAAAGTTAGCTATTGTAATTTTAAAATTGCCAGAAATAGTGAGAAATTGAATATTTTTCATGATAGCAGCAGGACTGTAAATCAGAAAATATTCTCACCTTTTAAAAATAGCAGAATAATGCATAGGATAGGAATACCATATTGCTGTATGAAGGAACTCACAAAGATCAAAGAATACTTTTTTTTTGAAAAAGATTGCTAAGTGTAATTCAGTAATTTCTATATAATGTTACTGTGGGGGGAAAATACACAAAACAACACACTCCAAAAATAAAAAAAGAAACCCACCTAATTTACAACACCAACAACAAAACATTAGTGTGTTTTCAGGAGTTTCTATTTGCACTCAACCACAAAAACAGGATTTTCTTGAAATTCGATCAGGATTTGAAATACTGCCACATACATTGAGAAAATGAAAAACAATGTGTTGACTTAAAAAAATCCTCTATAGGATAAAAATGTGCCTTCTAGGTATATTTGAAACATGAGTTTGCCTCTGCATGCGCGTTTCAAAAAGCCAACAATTGAAAGTGTGTAACTACAGGAGGTGGTATAGTTCTCCCTGTGAAAACTCTGTAACGCTGATCTCTGTGTGTACTGTAGTGAAGAAGGGGTTGGTGAGAGTCTTCTCTGAGCAAGGTCATCAGATTTGGTCTGAAGCACAATAAATTGTGCTTCACAATAAATGTTCTCACCTGTGTTTCTTCCACAAAAATATGTGAACTCTGACAAGTATCAGCCATGAGTGATGAAGTTTTGGCTGCAAAGAGAGGCTGAATTCTGTTCTTAATAAGTTTAAAGTTATGTTTAGTGTAAAGAATATATTTCGCTTTGGGCAGAAAGTTCCTTAGTGACTGAATTCAGATATTATTTGTGGTGTAATGGGCAAGCAATATCAGTTCAGCCAAACCTAGGAGAAAAGAGCTGTCCCATGTCACGGGCCATGGCCATCAATAAGGCAGCGAGTGTTCTGGTGTTAGTTCTGCCAGGCATTTCCCAGCTTTCACCAAAAAGCCTGGTTGGCCATAGCAGTTTTCAATTCAGGAGGCAGCTGACTGACACCTGCAGGTCTAAATTCTAGACATAGCTCTAGGAAATGGTAATAAGGCATCGAATCGTCTTTGCGAAACAAACCACTCACTTCACTGCTATGTGGGATAATGCCCATGTTGTATTTGAAATATGAGTTTGCGTTGCAAGGAAGAATTGTATGTCAAGTGCTTTGAAATGAGTAACCAGAACCAACTGCAAGATATCCAGGTGATATCGATAGGCTTGCAGTTCC